GATGTGGGGGCGGGCCACTCCGCAATAGCAGTGATCTTCGCGTCGTCCATGTGGAGACCCTGGTCAGACACGTAGTGTCCTAAGAAATCCACTTTGTGCTGGGCAAAGCGGCACTTGCTCAGCTTGGTGTAGAAGCCATGTCTGCGCAAGCGGTCAAGGACGTCGCGGAGGTGTCTGAGGTGCTCCTCAAGGGTACGACAGTAAACCAGGATATCGTCGAGGTAGACGAGAACGTACTGTTCCAGGATGTCCCTGAAGATGTCGTTCATCGCCCTCCTGAAGATGTCGCGGAGGTGTCTGAGGTGCTCCTCCAGGGTACGACTATAGACCAGGATATCGTCGAGGTGCATTGGTGAGGCCGAATGGCATCATCATAAACTCATAGTGGCCGAAGCGCGATCGGAACGCTGTCTTCGGCTGGTCGGCTGCAGCGACGCGGATCTGATGGTAACCGCTACGAAGATCAATCTTCGTAAAGAAGCGGTTGCCTGCTAGGCGGTCGAACAGCTCAGCGACGCGGATCTGATGGTAACCGCTACGAAGATCAATCTTCGTAAAGAAGCGGTTGCCTGCTAGGCGGTCGAACAGCTCATCGGAACGAGGCATGGGATAGTTGTTCTTAACCGTGTAGCAGTTGAGACCGTGATAGTCGGTGCACCCCACGGGGAGTTGCTGGGTTTCATGAAACCCAGTCTCAGGAGCTCCTCAAGCTGACGCTTGAGTTCGGTGGCCTTGGGGATCGAGAGTCTGTAGGGTGCCTGGTGGTGAACACGATAGTCAGGCACAAGCTGAATGGAGTGCTCGACGTCACGCATCGGTGGGATGCCGGCGTACGAGAACGACGATGGGAAAACGTCGCGGTACTCTCGGATGAGGTCACGAACTACGGGCTCCAAGTCAGCCGTATATCGTGCGAGTTTCTCAGCATCAACGTCAGCGCGCGACGGCGGGGTGGACTCGACGGACGGCGGAGGGACGGAAGTAGAGATGGGAGCCATGGAGATAGAGGGAGGATCTGGCTCCAGAGGGATGAGCTCGGCGTCGGGACAGGGTGGATCATAGTGTAAGAGATCCGTCACGTCCACCATAAAGAAGGTGACGTCGTCCTGTCGAATGAAGTGAGCGAACTGCCAAGGCGAGGTGACAGTGATAGAGGGAGATGGTGTGGGCACTGAAGGCTCCGGGGGAGGAGGATCGGGGCGTGGTGTCGCCGTGGTACCTATGAAAGGTACGCGATASGTCTGTCCACACTTCGTTTTGAGAACGAGAGTGTTGGTCACCCAATCGGCCTCGGTGCTGCGGAACCGACAAGACCACGGAGTGCCGAGAATGAAGTCGTACCCCGTCTCCATCACATCGAAATGTGCAGAGGAGTGGTGGCGATGAAACACCGGGGAACGATCAGTCGGCTCGAGAGTGAGGAAGAAGGGGAGGTCGGTGACCGTTTGATCGAAGAAGCTCTGGGTCTTGTCATCCCCTAGGGTAACGGAGATGGGAGTCGGAGACCCTGTCGTGGGTAAGCGGGCTTCCTTCACCACGCGTGGGTGAATGAAGTCGCCCTGAGAACCGAAATCCCACAGCGCTGAGTACACCCTCGTGGAGGTCCCGAATCGTACGGGGATGATCGGGAGGGTGCAATCAGGGTCAGAGAGGATGGAGAGAAGGCGACGCAGTGCAGCGACATGGAGGGTGAGTCGCTCCTGACGAGCCTGGAGCATGCTCAAGTCCAGAAGAGAGGACACAACGTCCTCGCGAGTAGCAAGCTGCTCGCTGCAACGGGCTGAGCGAATGGCTCGACATTTCGGTAGTCGCGGCGGGGAAGGAGGGGAGACGGAGGTCTGCGGAGGCGCAGACGGTACTGCGACAGAGGG